TCACACTGCTTTTGTGTTACATTTTTTGTCATGCTGGCAGATTACGGGCCTCACATAGCTGCTGCCAGGCCCCTAATCTGACATGGGCCCCTATACCGCCTCCTCATGCTGCTGCCAAGTCCAGAGTGTGTCATGGGTCCCTGTACGGCCTCCCATTGCTGCTGTCTCCATCGCCACACTCTGCCATGTGCCACATTCAGGTCTCTTCACACTGCTTGTGTGTTGAATTTTTTGACATAGGGTGCTGGCAGATTACAGGCCTCCCATAGCTGCTGCCAGGCCCCTAATCTGCCATGGGCCCCTATATACCGCCTCCTCATGCTGCTGCCAGGTCCAGAGTCTCTCATGCCATGTGCCACTTTCAGGTCTCCTCACACACTGCTGGTGTGTTCAATTTTTTGTCATAGGGTGCTGGCAGATTACGGGCCTCCTATAGCTGCTGCCAGGCTCCTAATCTGCCATGGGCCCCTATACCGCCTCCTCATGCTGCTGCCAGGTCCAGAGTCTCTCATGGGTCCCTGTACGGCCTCCCATTGCTGCTGTCTCCATCGCCACACTCTGCCATGTGCCACTTTCAGGTCTCCTCACACACTGCTGTGTGTTCAATTTTTTGTCATAGGGTGCTGGCAGATTACCGGCCTCCTATAGCTGCTGCCAGGCCCCTAATCTGCCATGGGCCCCTATACCGCCTCCTCATGCTGCTGCCAGGTCCAGAGTCTCTCATGGGTCCTTGTACGGCCTCCCATTGCTGCTGTCTCCATCGCCACACTCTGCCATGTGCCACTTTCAGGTCTCCTCACACACTGCTGGTGTGTTCAATTTTTTGTCATAGGGTGCTGGCAGATTACGGGCCTCCCATAGCTGCTGCCAGGCCCCTAATCTGCCATGGGCCCCTATACCGCCTCCTCATGCTGCTGCCAGGTCCAGAGTCTCTCATGGGTCCCTGTACGGCCTCCCATTGCTTCTGTCTCCATCACCACACTCTGCCATGTGCCACTTTCAGGTCTCCTCACACACTGCTGGTGTGTTACATTTTTTGTCATAGGGTGCTGGCAGATTACGGGCCTCCCATTGCTGCTGCCAGGCCTGTAATCTGCCATGGGCCCCCGTACCGCCTGGTCACGCTGCTGCTGGGTCCACAGTGTGACATTGGTCCTTGTACCGCCTCCCATTGCTCCCACTCTGCCATGTGCCACTTTCAGGTCTCCTCACACTCCTGCTGGTTTCCATTTTGTCATAGGTTGCTGTATGGCCTCCCATTGCTGCTGCCTCCACCGCCACACTGTGGCTCCAAACACTGGTTTTGGCCCCGTGACTGGCCAAATGAGTGAAGTGTGCGGTGATTCTAAGATCGACGGCACTCATCTGCATGTCATACTGAGTGACAGTATTATTTCTCTTCCCCAGCAGACTCCAAGGGCATTTAAATTAAAGGTACAGTGTTCTGCACTAATATTAAGTCTCTCTGAAGCCTAGAAACACCCTTTTTTAAGTTAAATTCACAGCGAATTTATTCGACTCGAATCGAATATTGTCCACGAATTCGCCGAATCAGTCGAATCGAATTTTTCATTTCTTCGCTCATCTCTAAATGTTACCATAGTAACATTGTACTACTCTGGGCAAGTGATCAGGTTTTTTTTTTTTACATATTATGATTGCTTATACCAACAATTTACATTGGCATAAGCAAGCATTTTTTACCGAATAAAACTGATTCATTCAGTAGTTTTTCTTGTGATCAGCTGTGATTGGCCATAGCTGATCACATGCTACAGATGGGCTGTGATTGGCCCAGCCTGTACATGTGATCACTGTGACCAGTCACAGCTTGCAGCACAGTTGCAAGCAGTGAATGGCATGTAAGAAAGCCATTCATTGTTTACAACTGTCATGTGATCCGCTGTGACTGGTCACAGTGATCACATGACACTGGAAGTGGGCTGGTGTAGAGATCTGTCATAGGCCGTGTCCCGTGAACACAGCCGGTGACAGATCGTATCGGAGTGCGGCCCGTGGAACACGTGTGAGATGCGATGATTGGAGGACATCGTATGACGTCCCTCCCAGGATAATAGGGTTTCCCCTCGGCCATCATCATACAATAAACTGGGCAGGAAGGAGTTAAAGCACTTTCAGAAGAAAAGCTGTACTTGTGACCCTATAGTGCAATGAGTCTCCTGATTATGCTTCATTCATTTTGTTTATCTGTGTTTTTTTTTAGGCCTCTACTGATGCTGCTGCTTTATTATTCCTCGATCAGACCACCAGTCATCAGGGAGCAGCTCTGACATAAGGAAGCAGTAATCTGCTTTTCTTCCAAGATAGCGGCCTCCACACAGAGACACAGTATGGAACAGGCATGGTAAGTGAGTAATGGGGAAAAGATCAGCTTTCTGTTCATTTTCTATTTAGAATCACCATTTTCTATTTATTGTGTTCTACCATATCAGTTGATACAAATTATCAAATATTATTGCGTCCCTGAATTTAAAGTGTATCTATAGTCAAAAATGTAAAATTATATATTTATTTCCACATTGTATTTAAGTTATTTTCAGCCTACTCTTAATAATCTGAATGATCTTGAACTCTGTAAAATAGCTTTTTTAAGAATCCCACACATTATCTTAAATTTTGTGATGCTATTTCACTATGTCCTAGGAATATGCACTGCTGGGTCACACAGTTCACAAGGCCTGCATTTTAAATTACAAATGAACTGAAGGAAGAAGTTTTAGGAGTCAGAGTCAGTACAAGAAACTTACCACATCATTAATATAGCCTTGATAAAAGGGAGTGCCTTTTGTTCCCTAAAAGTTATTAGATACATATACGGATTGTGTTGATCTGTTTTAATTTAATAAAACAATATATTTTGGAAATTCTGTGTGAAACTCCATTCTCTATTTCTTATCTTATGATCTTATTTTAGGATCCAGCGCCATCAACTCTCCTATTTCACATTGTAGAACAAGGAATGTTAAGTCAGTAATGGGGAAGAGGTCAGCTGCAGGGATGTAGGCATGTGTTGGGCTGCAGTTTTTTGTGACCTAAAGGTCACCTAAAGGTGGCAAGGTGTGGCACAGGATGTCACTGGGGAATAATTTGTCCCCTATTATGGTCTCCTGGTGGCCATCTTGGGGAGACCCACATCTCCGTGCAAGATTTGGATGTCCATCTTGACACAGGATTGCTTAAATAGGAATTTGTGAGTCATTTGGGGCACTCACAGCATGGGAGTAGGTCAGGAATAGAGCACTATTTGTAAGGGAAAAGTAGGAGCAGTGTTTAGGGAACAGTACCTGACAAGAAAACAAAAGTGTAGGCTTTCCCTTACAGAGTGTCTCTTCTGCCAGATTCTTGGAACTGTCTCCCACTATCAGCCAGATAAACTGCAAGGACTTTGGGGACCTTGGGATGACCCAGTGCAAGGATTCAATCTATGTCTGTAGTCTTTGTCCTCGTTATTTTCACCCTCAGGCCTGGGAGAAATACAGCTCCGGACACCGAAGTGTGCAAGCTAACTCTCTGAACGTTTAATCCATGACAAGAATGGTTATACAGAACTCAGTAGGCATTGTTTAATCTCAGGATGAGCAATGAAACATTGCATTCTTATCAATATAGTTACGTGAAGAACAGAAACTGCAAATAGTTGAGGGATACCATATAAGATAGTTCCGTTTAGAGAAATGAAACTAGTCTAAGAAAATGAGAGAGAAGTTACAAAAATAAAACTAACTGTTCACATGTCTAGAAATGGAGGCATTATACAAAATGGATGACAGTTAATAAGACATATTTCCTTACACCCAGTTATCTGGATATCTCCTCAAAGTGAAATGTTCCTCATGCATGCAGTAATCTCATATTATATTGCTATGGGAAAAGCACCTTGTTGCTTCACCACTTGCCAATTACCCATTGTACTTTTACTGCAGGCAGCACAGTCAGGCTGGATCACATGCACATATATCATCCAGCCTGTTCCAGGTTAGGGGCATGTGGTGAACCCCCTGTGGCGTGTAGTGTGCCACTCCCAGTGGACACAGCGGATTAAGGATCCCAGTACCCGAGATTGGGTGATCATGTGATCACTACGTGACCACTCATTCATTCGTAATAGCTGTGTTTCCTATGCTGTGATTGTCCCACAGCTATCACATGGTACCTGGGCCAATCACAGCATCCTGCACCATGTGATTAGCTGTAGCCAATCACAGATCACTTGTAATCACAGCTGTTATGAATGTAACCCATTCATGACAGTACAAAACATTGCTGTTACACCTATCTTCATTGTAACAGCAATCAAAGTGTAAAAAACAAAATCCCTGATCATCCTGAACTACTCTGGTGAAGGTATGTAAAACCGCCACTGTCATATGATGACACTGTACTGCACTGGTGACAGTATGTAAGAAAATGTGAAAAAAAAATTATTCAATTTCTTCATTTTAAAAAAAATTGTGACAAAAATTTAGAACTTCAAAAAACTCACAACACCTCTTATTGAATGTCTCAGACTGTCTGCTTGCCAAAAAGGGGTAATTTGTGGGATATTTTTACTGTCCTGGCATTTTAAGGGCCTCAAGAAATGAGATAAGCCGTCAGTACATAAGAACTGATCAATTTGCAAATATATGTACAGTATACCATAGTTTGTAGATGCTATAACTTTCAGACAAACCAATTAATATACATTTACTGGGATTATTTGTTTTACCAAAGACATGTAGCAAAATACATTTTGGCCTAAATTTATGAAGACATTAGATTTTATTGGATATGTTTTATAACAGAAAGTAGAAAATATTGGCTTTCTTTTTAATTTGTTGCCTTTTTTTCGCATAAAAAAAAAAAACTAAACAAAACAGTTATCATCAAATACTACCAAAAGAAAGCTCTATTTGTGTGAAAAAATAATAAAAATGTAATTTGCATACACTGTTGCATGACCATGCAATTGACAGTTACAGTAGTGCAGTGCTGAATAGCAAAATATATGCCCTGGTCATGAAGGGGGGTAAAACCTTCCGGAGCTGAGGTGGTTAAAGAAGTGTGTAACATGCAACATATGTGGTGCCATTGCTGTAAATTGACTTGTTTCTGTGATCATGCAATTTCTACAAAATAAAGTAACATTTAAGTGCCAACGTGTGTTGACTCACCCTTTTTTAAGGTATTCTGGTGCTGGGCATACATAGAAATTGATCACATGTTAAGTGATATTTGAGAAAGGCACTCAATGTTTTTAACATTGCACTAACTGGATTGTGGGATAGGATAATCACCCTTTCCAGTCCCACACTGATGTGTCTAATGAAAAGAAGATGTCAACTGCATGGTACAGTCGTAGTGACCAGTGGAAAGTTAGTGGGGGGTGGGGGGGACTTGGCTGAAATCCTGTCCTGTTTATTGTGTTGTCAAAATAATGCAATTATTAACAACATTACTTACTACAGATTTTATTATAGATTAGAATCTATATGAAAATACATACATTTAAAGCATACAACATCTAAAGCATCAGTATAACATTCAGGGGGGAATGACAACTCATGGGCCCCCCGGGCAATAGGAAATCATGGGGCCCCTGTGTCCTCGCTCACACTCAAACCACACCGAAAAAAGCCTATGAAAGGTACCAGGGGCATCTCGTGGGGCCCCCAACTAACCCCAGGCCCTCGGGCAATGCCTGAGTGCCTAAATGGTCAGTCCGCCCCTGATAACATTAACCTCATTAATGTTTTGATATATAGTGTAAAGATACAGAAACACAATCATGTTAGCCAGTCACTATCATTTAACAAACAAACACTAATCTTTAAGCCCACGTAATATGTCCTGTCTTTCTAAATTAATGAAGAAGGAGCCAAAAGGTCACATTTTCAAAAAAATGCAGTATTACCTAATCCAGTCATTGTATTTCTATTAGGCATGGGCCATGTTTTCCCTGTGTGGAAGCTGTGAACAACTAATATTTTATATAAATTCACACACAAACAGAAACACCATGTTAAGCAGGAATAATAGTCATAAGTCATAATTCAGTATTACATGTTGTATAATGATAATGCACACAGCATCATTAATATAGTATGTTTCAGTAATAAGCCATGGGTTGGTGTACAGTTCTAAGCACATGATCTGATTTGAGTGTTGTGTGAGGTTTCACCATCACTGCTGTGATGGACTGGCACCACTATATATACTTACAGCATTATAATCTTGATTTATATCAAATTAATTATGTTTCCTCTTGCTTAATAAAGAGGGATGCTGGTACCAAATTAAGTGCCATGGTAGAGTGAAGGACTTTGTAAAG